TCCCCGTCGGGCCGGCGCAGGCGTGTTTCTGACGAGCGATAACGATTATACAGTGGAACAAATTTTTATCAACTTTTTATTTCGCGACAATTAAGGGATATTTCTTGTAGGTAGGTTTTTTTTACGTTTGTAGGTAGAGGGTCTTTTATACTGCAAAAGTGTTTACAATTTTCTTCAATTTTTAAAAACTCCACTTCGAATTTCTTATGTAATAATGTAAATTTGTAATAATGTAAATTTGTAATATATGATAATGTAGTTAAAAATTTAAATATCTTTTTATAATATACAAAAATAAATGATAGTATAAATTTTTTCTTTTTAATATTTATGTATATAATTTAAATGATATATTAATCCTCCGTCCGAAATCAGAATCTTTAAAAGCACCATTGATACTTTTAACTGTTAAATATCAAAGAGGAAATGGTAATTCAATTCCATGAATTAAATAACAGTTTGTTATTTATAATTTTCATTTTTTTCAAAATATAAATCAATTCATTTCTGTAATTAATTTCAAAGTAAATAACGTCTATATTTAATATGTGCAAATGCAGTTAAATAAACTAAATTTGAGTCAAATTTAATATATTTTCTTAAATTAAATTATTTAACTCCATTGTTTTATAGCATAGTTAAATTAACGACATGTTGAGAAGGAGCAATGGCGCTTTACAGAAATGATAAAAAATAACTTAAATTATAATTTAACAAATATAATTTAACATGATGAATTTAACAGTGTGAATTTTGAAAAATTTTAATCTGTAAAAATTAAGAAATATTTCAACTTCTATGATGGTAAAAACTCATTGCTAAAACTTTAAGACTTTAACAATAGCAGATTTTTATCGGACTTACTAATATAGTCCGGAACAATAAAAAATTTGCTCCATTTCTTGAAGACCCCTATCGCTGATGGAAGAGTTAAAATTTTACCGGCGGAAGATTAAAATAATTGTGTAAAGGAACATGGCCTATCTTATATCATGATATGTTGTATTTGTCTTAGCACCGGAAACAACACTATTTCTAAAATTTGTAATATTAATATTTAACGTAAAAAAATTATACTGATTTCTAATGTTCCTCATTAAATCTATAGTGTCAAATTTAACCTAAATTTAAATTTAGGTTAAAGCCGTTGCTTCTTAAGATATAATTAGATTAAATTTGACTATAGATAACAGTGATGTTTTTCGATCAATACTTATTCTTATGTATTTTACTCCGTAAAATAACAAAAAAAGGCAAGGTTGAGTAGTGCTAAGTTAAAAAGATAAAAATTAAGTTAAAAAATTAATTAATTTTAACTTAACTTAGTTACATTTTAAACTCTTAACTTTTTAACTTAATTTAGTTACATTTTATCGGTAACTATTAACTTTTAATTTGATTTTTTTTAAGTTCTTAGATACAATGCTCTAATGAGTATATAATTTAATAATTTTATTAGGTGTAGTAAAAAGAAATCCATTATTTTTGCATGAAATTGAATGGAAAAATAATAGATTTCTTTTTACTATACCTAATATATTGTATAATCGTTACTTGTGAACAAAAATAACTAGATTTAATAAATAAGCTATAAGAAAAGAAAAATTGTAAAAAAATCAAACTGTTTCTTTTTTTTCTTTGATTATTTGTTCAATCCAAATTTAACTTTTAAAACTTTTTAATTACTTTTTCTTATTAACTTAACTTTTAATTCAATTAATTTTATTACGGATTATCTTGCATTTTAATTAAGTTAAATTTTCAAGACTGTTAACTTTAACTTAATTTAATTTAAAAAAAAATTAACTTATTCAACCCTGGAAAAAGGTTTGTAAATTATTTAAATTTATAGACTTTTTTCAAAATTAAAGCTCTTGATTTTTCGAAATCTGTGAGTGATGGATTTTTTTTTAATCTTATATATATATTTTCTTTCAACAGCTACATAAGAATCACCATTGAGATCGGAAAATAGAAACTTTATAATACAGTGTTATTGGTGTTTCATGTTCAAAATATTCCACGTTTCCATTCCGAACGTATCGCCGATAAACGGTGATACCAAGCATTAATCCAACTTCGGGCTGTCAATATATCGTGCTACGTACGGAAAATCGCGTTTTCCACGCGAGCGTCGTTCAGTGAAATTATTGCGCGCGCGGCGACGGCGTGCATCGTAAACGGGCAAAGCCAGACGATAGGCGCTTCCTGCCGCTGTCTGACATTTACCTCGATGTTAACGCATCGACTTTCGTTGATTGGAAAGGCTGATAAATACGGTCGCGCGAAAGACATTCAATCTCCCTCCGATCGTTACGCATGTTTTATTTACGGCATCAATTTCAGTGCCCGCTGTGGGACATGTTGAACTTTTTGGAATGTTAACGGGCTCGCTCGCAGGAAACTGTATTTTACATCTGCATCGGGGCATGTTCATAAATTGAGTCGTTGAGTTTATCTCCAACGTGTGATGTGGACACGTCGTATCAATTTGTATCCGTTTTTTCTCTGTTCTTCGCGTTTCTCGTCTAGATTTGTGTTATCCTCAGAACACGTTGCCCGAGAAATGAATTCGTTTTTCTTACCGGAAACAGACAATTTATAACGTGTATACGTTTCTTACGGTAAAAATTCTGTATGTTGCACGCGGTTACATTTGAATCGGTCATATCAGAAATCCTATGTAAATAAAAAAATCTAATTTTTCGCAGAAAAAAATATTCTAGTTTTTATAACTGTAGTTATACTGATTCATTAATTTTATTGAGAATTACAAGCAGAAAAGAAGTTTCAAAGAAGATGTATCTTTAAAATTAATTAGAAATATATAAAAAATGTCTCTTCAGCTCATATATTAAATGAGTGGATTATATCATTTTTAAAAACTTATTTTCAAAGATAAAAGTAATTTTGAAAATATTAACTTACATTGAGTTTGAAAAAAATGAGCATTTCGTACAAATTACATAATTGTACCTTTAGGAAATTCTGTAAATGTAATGAGAGACTTCTAAAAATGTTATAGAATAACATCTTCAATTTTGTAGTAAAAAGATTTTTTAGAAAAAAAATGCGTGATTAATGCGATTTTTATAAGAAATTGTGTATTAGTCTCTCATGATTCTGAAATTAATATCTCAATTTCGACAAAAATTGATTTATGAAACTTTTGAAATGATCGATTTATTAATTTCGTTAAAAACCATCGATTTAGTTATTTTATTAAAAATTATCGATTCATTGATTTTGTAAAGAATTACAAGTAAAAGGAAGGGAATTATATGATATATTTCTCCTCTAATTATATGATATATTTCGTACAAATTTGTCTCGTACTCGAGGTAATCAGTGATAAGGATTACTCCAGTATAAACTAAGATATATGACATTTTGCGGCTTTTCACTCAGAAAACTATAAAATATCCGTTACTCCTGTTATTGCTACTGAAAATAGAAGAGAGCAGCCCCCTGAAATAATCCCGATATATTCCGCGCGATGCGACGACACATAAACGATCGGGAAGTCGATTTTCGTATTTGTACGTCTTATTCACGAAGCAGACATAATCTCGGCGTGCCTGCGTAACGGTAAAAACAGATCGGCGTGCATTCACTTTTCCTCGTTGTACTTGTGTGTACGCACACTCGGCAGGCGCATTATCCAGCCGCATATGAGGCACGCACTTTGCAGCACGCCTTTTAAGGATATATGCGAACGGTAACAGTGTCAGTGCCTAGTAACAACCCGAAACATATTGTATTTCTCGAAACTCCGAGAAACACAAACGGCGTATATCACGCAACGCAATTGCATACGTTTAATTATCCTTTTACGTATACTTTATACGCGGAAGCCTCGGTTAAAAAGCGAGATAATAAATGTAAAAGTAATTGAAGAGCGGAAATGGGGGATGTCAGATGCGCCACGTTCTGATTTTTCTTCTATCGACACATAAATTGCAATAAACCAACGCAATAAAACCAAATAATTATTTCCATAAAAAAATAATTATATATATTA